CAATAGACAGTTGAAGGGCAACTAGAAGATTTGAACTTCTACGATGATATTGCTCTTCTATCTCATACGAAAAAGCTGGTGCAGGGTAAGACAACTAGTGCGGCAGAAGCCTTTGCAGTGGTAGGCCTCAACAGAGAGAAAGGTAAAAGTAAGATCATCAGATACAACACAACATGGACCAGATAAATCGTACCTCATGGATAAGCTTTGGAAGATGCTGAAACTTTAACAGAACCTTGTTAAACAAAGTGGCCCTGAAAGGAATGCAAAGACACGAACTAAAAACTCAAGCGCAGCACTGTTTATTAAAGAACACTTGGATCTCAAAATAACTGCCTCTTAGCTGACGCCGATGTCACTTCCGGAAATACAAGAGTATTATAACTTTAAATTTGAGGCTGCATGTATGTTTTAAATAGTGTTAAGGACAATTCAGGGGTGATAAAACCGATCCCACTGATTAATAAGTGAATTATGACCTTAACTAAGTATCTACTTTGGCGGTCTTTGTTTCAGTGCTTCCTGTTAATGACAGGTTGAGATCAGGCCTTATTAGGACACTCATATGATGACAATCACAAAGGGAGTCGGTTGTTACTCGGTGGTGTATGTATAAAAAATTCGAGTTGGATATTTGGATCTTTTGGTTCTTTGGTTATTTTCTGTCATCTGCTTTCATTATGACGTGAAGTCTCTGTGAACCTTTCTCGAGTCCCACTAACACTTAACGGATTTAACATTCTGAAGTCCTCATAAGAACAATGAGTAAAAGGGCCGTCACTATTTGAGTCTCCATAACCTATATGAAGGGCTATAATCAGAAGCAAGATATAAACAGAAAAATTGGGCCCAAAATTATTATCAAACCAAGTTCGAGGGTTAACAAAATGAATCTATTATTAATCAGTAAGAAAGGGGTATATTCAGGATAATACTTCACAGTAAATTTTATACTGCAAGTTAGTCGGTTTAGCCGCCCTGCTAAATGATAGCTATCGTTGATGGATGTTTGATACTTGATGATTTTTCCGGCGATGCATTTCCTTTTTGTTTTAGAAAATGGTTCAATGGTACATCAGCCATAATATTCCAATGCACATGTAGCGATTCGTATAATATACATCTTCACGGGATAACAAATGTTAACCCCGAAACTCTATGAATCAATTAAAAAGGAGATTCTAGAGGAAGAAGTGTATTTGATACTGGCCTCGTGACATCGAAATAATATCGAGGCAAGAGGGAGTACAAACGGCTAACGTCCACGCAGGAGATGTGCGAAGAGTAGAGAGGGAATAACACGCTTGGCGCGCGAGAGATAGTCTTCAGTACCGGTAAACTAGATGTGTTCAATATAACAATTATTTTCAGAATTAAGTACAATAACAAATGTTTATATTTCAGCAATTGTGTTTTCTTCGTAAAAGTATACCACTACACACATCCAAATAGACATCAGCTGCAGTTATCACTAAGTAGCGACTATTTGCGTGATTATAATTCCGGTGAAATCACTGCACGGAGACCATTTTTGTCTCTGCTGTGGTATGATTCACAATAATACTTAGACATGTATTTGTTTGGCAGTGGGAGCGCGAAAGAATTGTTGAAAATCTGAGTAATGAATGTCCGGTCTAGACGAAGAAAAGAGGACGCAAAACATTAAGCATGTGGATGAATAATTCATTTAAGAATAGTCCTATGAATTTACGAATGAGAGGAAGCGTGAAGACCATCCGTCTTTGGCTTCTATTAACTGTTTAACTTGTTAATTGTATCTCAGGATTTTGTTTTGTCGTTTCGCGTTATCAAATTAGGTTCGTGGAGCACACCTTTGAATTTAGTATCCATTGGAAACATTTTGGATCACAAAGGTTGTTTTAGTAACTTTTTTTGAGAAACTAGTGATAATTACTAATTTGCCGTGAGGCTAGAAACGTGATACTTGTTTTTCAAATGATATCGAAACGGTTTGCAGTTGTTTCAATGCTTTTTTTAAAATTCATGCCGTAAAGTTCTTTATATACATTGATTTTAATGACCACAGTTGATCGCATTTCTAAAGCTGATTGTACCAGTATCGAGGAAAAGTTTTACAACTGCACAAGCGTACCGCACACCTGTGTTTTTACGAACTATCTGGATGTTTGTTGGACAAAACCAGATTCTGTTTTATGTGCTCTGAACAAGATAGAAAATGCTTTAAATGCTTTGTTGTCCGGTAGGGATATTTGCATTGACATTTGTTCTTGCATTACTATCAATATTGAGCGTCTCGTCGGTGCTTTAGTCTTTTCCTTGTCATCAGAAGATATCTTATGTCGGCGTTCAGCTACTCAGAACCTGCGACTTATTTTGCGCGTGGCATTGCTTTGTTTAAAGCTTCCTAATTTAGATGCATGTATTAACTCTTTAATTCGTCACGGTTTATCTGCTGCCGGTAATTCTAGCGTCAGATTATCTATATGTTCAGTGCTTCCTCAAATATTTACTCCAGATTTGTTCCACTCATTTAATCAAAAAGACATTGCCCGTCATTTTGAGCCTCTTCTTCTCAGCTTGATTGACTGTTTCATATCTTTTGGCAACAAATCTGCCTACAAGAATGCATTTGTGTCTTTGCTCAAATTATTTGGGAATGAGCTCTATGATTTTCTTCTCGACACTTGGGAGTGTCGAAATGCTGATGGCATGTTATCCAACCTTCATTTACAATTGTTTTACCAATGGTCAGACGGGGTTTCGGTAACAAATCCAAAGGGTGGATATCGTCGGAAATGTATTCAAGCATCTCACTTCTACCCGAACAAAACCAGTGAAGAGATGTTTCAGACCTCTAAGACTGTCTCACCTGTTGGGATGGAATCTCCATATGAATCTATTGTAACTGGTTGTACTGCTATTTGTTATAAGGATGTAGGCCACCTTATGTCACATTCTACGTTCTATCAGTTAGTATCACATTTTAAAAAAGGAGCTTTCCAATCTGATGAAGATGGATTCACAACTCATCAAGCTATTGAAGATATCCGCAAAGCTGTGATTTCAAGCATTAATACTCCGTCAGGGAGAAGAACCCTTTTCGGATTTTCTAGTTCGGAAAACTTTACTGAACATAGTAATTCTGGGGAGAAGCTGTCTCAATGCCGATCTCTTTTGTGTCTCACGGAGTTACTGAAAATATTTGTTCGTGATTCTGATCTGAATGTAATCCTGTGTTCACTAGAAATAGCAACACTACTTACTCAACCGTTTCAATGTACAGTTGCTATAAGCTTTAGTAAATCACCATGCACAAAGATTGATAATTTGGGTGCTGATGATTCAGATTGGTTTGCTCACCAACTTCTGGATATGATATTTTTCGCTTTGAGTGATACTAGATTGGCTGTTCGAGTAGCCGGAACCAGGCTTTCTATTGCAGTTGCAAGTTTACCATTTTGTGCTATGATAATTGTTCGTGAAGTGGTGGGTCGAGTCCTTACTTACTATTCTGATTACAGCACAAATAAGTCAAATAATGGAGAGGAATGCGTACATTTTAAACTCTCTACCGACAGAATGCATCGACTACATCAAGAGTCTGTTGATCTTATTACCTCACTACTTTTAACGCTTCCTAGCTCGGAGTTCGACTTGCGTGAAGTTTGTAAACTGGTCGTTCTCCCAGGATTAACTGACCTCAAGTTATGGGTGAGTTGACCTATTTATGTTATGTAATGACTACATGAAATGTTGAACTGTGTTCACACTGTTATTTTTTTTCACAAGCTAAATTAGAAATAGCAGTATGAACCCAAATTACTGGTTGTATGAAACGTAACATTTTAGGACCTTTTAGTAGTTAAAACTGTCGTCACGATTACTAGTCCAAAGTATATTTTAGACTTTTCTAATTTGTTCTACATCTTACTGTCATTGTTAACCTTACATATCCTTAAAACTAAGAAGAAATGTGTTGGGTTTACATTTTGCCAACTGAGTAACAGCTTCTTATCAATCTTTTGCATTAGTTCCTTTTTCGGTTATTCTCCTGATGTTAAACCTCGATGCAACCGTTAGCACAACATCTAACTGTCCGAAATTCCTAACAAATATCTTTATTTTGAAACCTATTGTCCATGATTGTTATTTCTACGTTTTCAGTTGTTTAGTTCTCCTATAATGGCTAGTTCTCATATTTATCTCATAAAACATATTTCTCCAGCGATTTCGGTGTGTTCGTTCCTTGTTTATTTTACGTTTATTATATTTCTTGTAACTTTATACTCTACGACTTCATAGATTAGAGCAACACGATTTGAAATTACTGATACTTTTTCATGGTTAGGCATATATGCTGGTTTTGTCAGTCTCATGAATGTCTTTTTAAATTTTTCAGTTGTATTTCAGTCTTAGGTAAACTGAAAAATAAACATCACATCCTGAGTAAGTATTATCTTGCATAAAATGGAACTTAACCATGCAACGTGGCAATGACATTCTTGTTTACTTTCGTGGACTTAAAAATGGATCTCTTCAGTGTGTGAGCATGGATTTATAGTCTGTAAATGTATACGGAGCTTTCAGAGTCTGATTGTAAAGGAAAAAAAATAAAATAGCAAGTAAAGCAGTTCTCGGAGCATTTATTATGCCTGCCTACTGCCTATCTAGGCGCAATGATTGCTAGTATAGGAATAAGTACTGTGAAAGATAAGAAGTGCCGAACCGATGCGTAGTATTAGTCTATGCATTCATAATGTTGGTAGGTGGAGACTAGCTTTTTGGAGTCTGTTTCAGTGATTAGAGTAATTGAGTGGACTGGGGATAAACTCCACTGTCGTTTTTCCTTTTTGACGTTGCACCTAGCAATCAATCAGAATGAAGCGGAAATAGTTACTTTCACCTCGAAGCCTCCACTATTCACAGTAATCGCTAAAGGCTTACTTACAGAAAGCCATAAGCAATGGGAAGTTTTTCTAAGAAAGAACTATCACCCCATTCTGTTATAGACGTGTTAAGTATAATTCAGTCAGCTATGGTTAAAGGAAAATTACATCATAGCAAAAGTCACATCTCCAACCAGTCTTGTATTAAAAACTATTGTTAAATATGTACAATTCGGTAACTAAACGAACGAAAACATGACGGTTATTACTGACTACGATACTGATGGCTTGAAAATGTGGGGATCACCATTCCTTTGAATGACATGACTTGGAATTGCTTTCGACGATACAGGTGCATTCACTATTTGCCGCTTAAGTTCTAGTTTCTTTAATTATCTTGGTTTTTTGTTTCAAGAATCCTAATGTATTTCAAAACGATATCTTCTATCCTTAATCTTTTTTATTACCACTTTTACTTTTGTTATTTATAATACTTTGACATCTCGCCGTACTGATATGATGTGACAACTTAAACGGATGCACATATCTGCCGGTTTCTAAATCGCGTATGACCGACTCAGTAAAACACTGAACAAAGATGCGTAATATGCTATTGACTAATTAAAACACCTGTATTTAGTTCTCGATAACTTTTAACGTGATAATGCTAGTCCCCTAAATAGTTCTTTCGCTAATAGACTTTTGTATCAATTCTTAAGTTTTTCCGGATGGAGTTTGGAGGCCTTAAAATTCCCCGAAGTTTTTATTCTTTGCGTTTGCATTCTGTTACTGTGAATCCAGTATTCATCAGGTTTCTCAGTTCAACCAATCTCATCCCACTTTAAATAAGAACGGTGCAGCAGACCTCCAACTCGCCCGTATTCAGAAATTTCTTACACCTGGATCCAGGTAAAATGGTAAAACTTAGTGGTTTATTTTAGGAAGTTTTTATGGTAGCCAAAAACCTCTAGCTAAAATGAATAAAATATAAATCGTAAAATTGATAAACAGATATTATCCTTGTAGATCATACTTGTTTGTTACTTCCAGTTGAGTAGAGGTGACAAGAATCCCAGGTTTTCACCAAAGCCCACATGAATTGGTATCCTCTCCTACAGAGTACTATCAACTCTGCACTACTCAATGCAGTTATTATGTCCATAAGAATAGGATACATGTATTAATGTTGGTCACAGATGTATTTTAAATATTGTTCGTGTATGGCAGAAACATCAGACTGAATTGGATATAGATTTCCTAACAAAGGAGCTATCAACTTATTTTAGAAAACATTTTGTGCTGAATATTGCAAGACTAGATAAGAAAAAACCTCTAAATCTTCTTGTACTAGAACATAAATCAATCTGCAAGACCATTGACCTGTAATATGAACAATGAAACGGGATTTATATATATTCTAGCCGAGACCCTAAAAATATTAGAATTCAACGACTAAAAAGAAGCCATGGTGATAGCTATAACTCGGTCATCGTGAATCACTCTCACATTTTGAACCTCATGATTTCATCACTTTAAAGCTGTTTCCCTTACAAGCTCACGTTATTCTTGATCATTTTCAATATTTCCTTTCTTCTATGAATTTAATCTTACTCTTCTGTTTCGAATTATGGCAACGTGAACTCGCTTTGAGATTTTATGCCATAAGCGTTGCTTTTGTGTAATTAATTCTACTACTATTAACTGAATAATTGTTAATACGAATTATGTTTCGAACCACACTCTTCATGGGAGAGTATCTATGATACCAAACAACTTCTCTAGACTCTGCAGATCAATTCAGGCTTTAATTGGTTACACAAATACCAAAAACGTAGTTAAACCACTAGTTTTTTTTAACGAACAGTACTTTAATTCTTTGAGAGGGCAACTTAGGTAATATCTATCCAAACCTTTAATAGTTCAATCATAACGTAAAGTTTGAGTTATTCAAAACTGTCACACTCCTTTCTTCAATAAATAATCTGTTTCTTGATAGAGAGTATTTGGAAACTAGTTAATTTCTCTAAGATATTTAACGTAGTGTAGTTCGGTTAAATTAGTCACTGCTAGCATTGTTTGTTTGTGCTTATGTTAAGTGAGTCGTAGAGTCGAAATTGCCTAACGGTCAAATCAGATACACATTAAAAGCCTTTATTTTTGATGATTTATCGTTCTAAGCTATTGGTTGACCTGTCGAGCGTGTTGATCGCTTCACTTATCTGGGGAGTCTCATCAGCGCTGATAGCCTGGTGACTGACGAAATCTCAGCTCGGATACAGAAAGCTCGATTGGCTTTTGCCAACCTGCGGCACTTATGGCGTAGGCGTGACTTCCGTTTGCTAACCAAAGGACGGGTGTATTGCGCAGCAGTTCGCTCCGTTCTCCTATACGGATGCGAAACATGGCCGTTAAGAGTAAAAGATATTCGTAGGTTACTAGTATTCGATCATAGGTGTCTTCGAAGCATTGCTCGTATATCGTGGGACAACCGAATAAACAATGCTGTCGTTAGGAAACGAGTACTAGGTAAGGATGGCGGATCAATAGATGAAGTAGTGAAACTTCATCAGTTGACGTGGTTGGGACATGTGTTACGTATGGCTAACCACCGACTGCCTCGACGAGCTATGTTTTGTGGTGTATTGAGTAGGTTGGAAGAACGCTAGGGGCGGCCAAACCAAAACATGGCAGAAATCCATGAAGTCAGTGACAAGTGGACTGAGTCATGTTGGTAGATGTAGACTACCTGGTTGGGTTCCGCGAGACGAAAGTCACCAATGGTTAGAGACCTTGAACGACACGGCTCAAAATCGTTTGCAATGGCGCAAGTGCATCCATTCGTTGTGCTCTCTCAAATCCTAATCTTTGGATTCGTCAGCACCCCTACCTTTATCTTTCTAACCTTATCTCACTGAATTATACTGCTTCAGTAATATCTTCAAACCCTAGTTTTCTTCATTGCTATTCATTCCTCTACTATCTTTATCACTATGGGGTTTTATTTGACATTTGCGTCTCTGTGCTAATGTGGTATGGCAACCTGAACTTATGTAAATACGTACAAAGTTCTGCGTTGCTGTTGATTGATTGATTGGTTGACCTAAACCTCCTGCTCAAATAAAGGTAGTATAATCAAATTCAGATTTCATGTTTATGGTTCCGTCTTTTTCTAATCAGTTGTTTTTTTCCTGCTAGCGAGTAACATCACTTTACGTAAGGTTTCTTTTCGAACCTTTGCTAAGCTTTTTCCACTACAAGTATGTCCGATCGATTTCCACGATCTGGATAGCAAATCAAGTGATATAGAACATTATAGGAGACTAGGTGTTAAATAAAGATTTATGTTATTAAAATTTGTAGTAACGTCAAGAATGACCTCTATAATTTAGTATGAGTTATATCAACATTATATTTGTCATAACTGTTTACCTATTCCTATATGTGACAATTTAATGAAAATTGTGTTTAAAAATGAAGTGGACACCATGATATAAACATTTCATCTAATATTTAGAATAGCTCGGTATCAATGATCCTCATTTTTTCTGCAATTGTTATTTATTGATGAGTTAAAATTGCTTGATATACATCGATGGATGATTATTTTACTCGTTGTTATACATATATATATGTATATATACATAGTAATGTTGTTCATGTGGTCGTCTTTATTTGGGACATCGAACTCTATCCCTATGTCTCATCTCTTCAGTCACATGTGGGTTTGTTGTTTGTTATTCACCAACTTATATAGTTTGCTCAAATACGACTCGTATTTAAAAATGTCCTCCTAATCATGGTTTTTCAGTGATTACCCACTCACTC